TAGAAGCTAGGACGTCACCCGGAAGTGGCGCGCAGAACCCTGGCCCGAGTTCTGTGGTTAGTGTGCGAGGGCTAGGTGAACGACCTCGGCTAAAGGAGATAGTTCGAATTGGGACCCTGAACGTGGGTTCGCTTACTGGGAAGTCTCGTGAGGTTGCCGATCTCATGAGATGCAGGAATATCCAAGTCCTATGCGATGGAAGGGTGCGAAGGCCCGCGAGAATGGAGGTGTCAAACTCTTCTACAATGGAGCACACACCAAACGGAATGGTGTGGCCATAGCGGTGGCAGAACCCCTCAAAGACTGCGTCTCCACTGTGAACAGGATCAGTGATTGGACAATGGGAGTGAGAATGGACACAAAGGAGGGGTACTGGACAGGCTGAGAACATGACCGCTAGAGGCAAAAAAATCGGTACTGCGTTCGTGCTTCTACAAGTAAATCAGGTACCCATGCGCACACCCTCTTGACCATCCTCATTTTATCGGACATAACTCGGGCAGCAGTTGCAGCAGGGATGTCAGTCTCGCGGAGAAGCTCAAAAGTCCCAGGATCTGTTTGCTTTTCTGCCATGCCTCTATATGTCTCCGCACTTTCAAAGAAAATGTTGCGTGGATGTGGCCAGAAAAGTTCCTGACAACAAAAAGCAAATCGTCTAAAACAAACTCTCGATGGCAAGCTCTCCAAGAAGCAGTGACGAACATCATCCCACTCACTGCTGCCTTTTTTTGCTCAGAGTTGGCTCATTTGGCTAGAACTTCCCCAAGGCTAGAATGTGACATTCGTTCGACATGAAAACCCTTGAGACGCTAGGCGCTCTTCTACGTGAAGGTTTTCTCGTAGGGCGCAGACGCCCATAACTTTCGCTAACTGCTCGCTTCTTCTCTTCCTAGACGAGTATAGGTGCGCAGCGATCTTGCGGCGATGTAAAAGTCATTATAGTAAAGTTCTAAAAAAGCAAAACGAAAATGCTGCAAGGATCTGATCTCGCGAGGTTCTACCTATGAAGCGAGACTACTAGCATTGTCTCTTCGCCACGCTAATACGTTGAACAGACAAAATATAAGGTGGGCGCTCCTATTGGGTCGGCCCATAAGTAATGGCGAGTTTTTTCTCACTTGAAATATCGCGCTAAAAAATGAAAAGTTCTGCCACTGAGTTTTATATTGTTATGCAGAGAATTCCTTGCCCTATAAGGCTGTCCCCTTGGTAATCTTGCGGATTCTCTATGCACTAATATTCAAGTGCTCAAAC